TCTGTTGTACAGCTATTCACAATATCCTTTCCTGCACTAAGTGTTCTTAATCTTCTCTTCTTCTGGATTAAATAACAGAACTTGATAAAGCCACAGCCTGCGACTCTGGCATCCTATACAGGCTCTGGTTCATGTCCCAGCTGCTCCACTTCCAATACAACTCCCTGCTAATGAGCCTGGGAAAACAGCCAAAGATGGCCCAAGTCCTTGGGCCCCCTGCTACCAATGAGGGAGACCAGGAGGAAGCTCCTGGCTCCTGGCTTCAGCTTGGCCCAGCTCTTGGCAGTGAGATGGAAAGGAGAAACAAAAGAAAAAGGTAACTTTAAAAATTAGAGCTCACCAATTCCCAAATTTATGCTTTTTAAGTTTTTATTTATTTGAAAGGCAGAGTGACAGAGATGGGGAGAAATATGAAAGATCTTTCATCTACTGGTTCATTCCCCAAATGCCACAACAGCCTGGGCTGGGGTGGGCCAGGTGGAAGGCAGGAGTCAAGAGACCCATGCATGTCGCACATAGGTGGCAGAAACCCAAATACTTAGGCTATCCTCTGCTGCTTCTCAGGTGCATTAGCAGGGAGCTAGATGGAAAAGGAAAAGACAAGACTCAACCCCAGGCTCTCTGAGATGCAGGCATCCAAGCAGTGGCTTAACCTGCCAGGCCACAATGTCAGCCCCACAATTCCTAAATTTAGAACAACTTTCATCTACTCATTGGGAAGCAAAAACTGGATTAAAACTCATTCTAAAATTCTGAAATAAAAATAATTTCTATTTATTCTAATCTATATAAATCTCCTGTATAAAGTATTTGCTTCCTTTTTACATTCTTTTCATTGTAACAGATAAAATGTAAAAACAAATCAAACAACAACAAAAATCTCTCATCAGAAACACAGAAAGGTCTCCTTGTTCCCCTAACTTATTGATAAGCTTTAAGTTTCTTAATCACTAAAGAAAGTCTTAACATTTTGCCTAACATCTTTATTATGTCTTCTTCAAAGGAGATTTTATTTTCTAGGAACCTACTAAATCATTTACCATATGCCATTCAAATCTACTCCTTACTGTTTCTGGAATACAGCTACCCCACTGGAAACAGTCAATTAAAATGCTCTGTCTGATAACCACTTAGAATTTTGTGGAATGTGCTGCCTACCTTCATATTCTCCTCAGGATTCAGATATAGTTTAGATTCTGAACTTAAAGAAGGGTTATGTTAAGCAATTAATTCAATTTTAGCCAACATTATTTTATGTAATCAAGTTTGACTTTTTTAGATGTAATTGATATCTGGTTTGGATTTTTTCCCCTCATATTCTAGTTATTTCTACAACCTTCCTAAAATTGGAACTTACACTCTATCCTTAAAGTGGAAATTTATAAAGTACTGCTGATTGTTCCATAAAATTCATGGGGAAAGATCCAGCCATTAAATATAAAGTGCAAGAGTAAAAAGAATACAAGTATTTTATGCTACTACAACATCTAGAACAGTACTTTGCACAGAAAAGACTCCTGGCTGTAATAAGCTGAAACCCAGTTTAAAAATGAATTTTATCACAGGTCAGTCAGTATATGCCAGGAAGAATTCTTCTTGCTATTCACTGTTCTGGCAGCAAGTAACCTAACCATGTGCAGCTTGTGAGGGCCACTGTAAATGATACACCAATACAACCAACATTCTCAGGTAACCTTTTATGGCTTCATCCAGGGCAGTGTTTTTCAAGCTAAGAACTGCAATCTATTAGTGGGTCCACAATTAATTTAATGAGTCCAGGTCAGTAAATGAACAAAAGAAAGGTGAGAAAGAGAGAGAATAAATAGAATAGAAAGTATCTCAGGGCATCACAGGCAGCAGTACCAGCTTATGAAGTTTGTTTTATTTTCTAGGTATTTTCTGAAAGCAATGTTAAATGTATTTTAAGGGCTGGTTTAAGTAAAACTAGAAAACACTGACCTGAGAGACAAACAGAAGGGAAAAGGACAAAGCAGTGGATCTGTTTCAATTACCTAATCAGGGTTTGGGAGGTAGGCAAGACTACAGGATACACAGGAGTCTCACATCCCTACGTGAGAAATGAAGACGCACTTTCTCCCCTTACTGTAGGCCTTGCACAATTTGTAGCAGAACTCACAACTGGAGCCATTAATGTTCTCACCTCTTTCAACTTCTAAAGGCAGAGGGCACCCTGTTACTTTCTCCTCCTGTTAGGCACATTCAAGCAGTTAAGACACCACAGGCTCCTGAAAGATAATTATTTATTGATCCTGAAACAACTACTTCTAGAAAATATTAAGTGTACTTAATTTCACAATTTAGAGCCGCAAATAAAACTTTGGCATTCAGAAAAAAACCTGGAAGTATAGTGTATAAAATATAACTTGGAAGTATAATGTCTGAGACTACATGAAGTTCACTAAGAAATGGTCACATGGAGAATATAACCACTCAAATAGAAATTTTTTTTAAAATGGCATATGAAATGTTTCAAAGACTCGAGGCACAAGTGGAGCCATTTAATGCCGCAGTTAACAGTTAAAGAGTCACCCAGTGCAGAACCATGCCCTGATTGTTGGCCATTAGACCTGCTTTTCTTCACTGGATCTTTGTACAAAGTTATTCTGAATATCCAGTTGTTTTAACAAAGCTTTTCAATTATTTTTGAAGTCACTTTTTTTTAAAAAACTTTTTGACTGTATAAAGGGCAGTTATAGTTACTATCTGTTCTAAGAGATTCAAAGAGATGTTTATTTCTCAGGATGTACTGACCAAAAATCACAAATACTATGTGTTCAAGTGACTCAAATCCCACTACTGCCATGGAAGCTCCCACCACCGCCACACCGTATGGCTGTTTTTTTGTTTTGTTTTGTTTTGTTTTTTTACTAATATAATCCCACATTCTGAAGAGGACAAAAATATGCAGCTATAAAGACAATCTCTCCAGTGGCAGGGTGAGGGCTCCTGTACTCTCTGCTGTTAACAGTACACTGTTCCGCTGGGCTCACTGTCTCCTTTTTTCTTACACTTTGAAGTCTGCTGTGGTTTGAGACATCAACCTCTGGCATAACCAACAGCTAGGTTTATAATTTGAGTTCATACTGTTAGAAAGAGGAGTTTCAGTCTTTGCCTACTAACAATTCCTAACCAAACAAATTCCAAAGTGATAAACCTTTGATAAATACCTACAAGAAAGTCACTTTGTGTACAAGTGCCAAAGAATGAACCGAAACAAATTATGAAGTTCACAGCCTCTTATGCCTACAGGCAATAAGACTTCAAACTCTAAGGACACAGGTTTTAGTGGTAAAAATACAAGAGCCCATTTATTTATCTATTCTGATCAGACACCACAAATTCAATTCTGGTTAACCCTGGCGGCCAAAACTGGACACTCCTAATTACTCCAAATTAAAGATGCCTCTCACTTCTTCTATCTCCTGGGCCAATACACCAAGCCTAGAGCAAAACTTCGGGCTAGATGAAACAATACAATAGCTTATTGATCTCTGGTGTAGACCCAAACCCACAAGTCTTCAGGCAAGCAGAGATCACAGCCACTTGATGCAACTAACAATCAGAAGTCACCATCTGGGTTTCCTGGTCGACACACTGGCCCACCATATGGGCAGTCACCACATCAAGTGTGGACTAAGCACTCTCCTCCCTCTAACAAAAACCACAACATACTCATCAGGTAAGAGCAATTCACCCCAAAACACACGAAGAAAACACTATTTCTTGGTTGTTGGTGTTTATCACTTCAATTCACTCAATTCTTCACTTAGTGTAGTTTCTTAGGTTTTAAAAGTTATCATCACATTCAATGTCACAGATAAAGGCTTTCAAAAGAGGTAATTGCTCACAAATTACATGTTGACTGAACCCATCACCAACCACCCTCACACCAGGGGAATCAGTGCTGGTGGCCAATGACTCAGAGCTTCTACAAGTAAAATCCACCAAAGAACGATAACTTCTAATTATTTTCTTCTGGAGAAATCAAAGCAACGCTCCCTAAAGGAAAGGTTACCAGTGTTCTCTGAAATGCCTATTCAACGCGTTTCACCGAGAAACTAAAAATGGTGAAGTCAGAAGTGGAATTCAAATCTCCCAAGCGATGGATGTTCCTGCCAATTAATCCCAGGGAGTTCTTGTTCTGACCCCAAGGCAGCATTCAGCCCCGTCCTCCCGGCATCTCCAGCCCTCTCTCAACCAGAAAGCGCTATCTCTAACCGGATCACAGACTGGAATAAGGAAAGCGACAGTGACAAGAGGAGCGGGCGACGACGGATGAATCGACCATTGAACCGGGAGTGCAGGCAGACGTGCACGCCCCGAGAGAGGGAAGAGACCGAGGTGGAGCTGGAAACTCTTTTCCCGGCCTTCTCTCCGCGCGCTGCTCCCGGGGAGAACCAACAGGACCCTGCACGCCCGGGATCCACAACACCTCGGCCCCAAGGCGCAGTGGTGGGAGCAGAGCGGCGGGGCGCTCGTTCAGCGAGCGGGGGACCCGGAGGCGCCGGGCGGTGGGAGTCTCCCAGTGGAGAGAACTTCCCGAGCCGGAGGGGGCTGGGGGTGGCCGGACCGTCCCGGCGGCGGCAGGGGCGACCTCCCCCCGGCTTCCTCACACAGCCGTACATCTTTGTGTGCGTGGATCGTGAAGGGGGCTGCGAGTCCTCGAGGAGCTGGGGCCCTCGAGCGCAGGACCCAGGTGCACCAGCCAACCTCCTCGCTCCACCAGAGCCCCGGCCCGGACCCCAGCCTCTCTCCCACGCCCCGAAGGTCTTGGAGGTGGGAGAGTGGGCTCAAGCATCTCCGCGAGGGGAAAGCCCTCCCGCCGCATCCACCCCCTCGCCGGGTCTTTGTCCCGCCGGCGGCCAGGGTCTCCTCCCCCTACCCGGGTCTCCCGTGGAACCCCCGACCCGGAGGCCTCGGGGGCCCCGGGTCGCCCCAGCTTTGTTCGGTCAGCGGGGCGCGGGGACGCGGACACTCACCGTACACCCCAGCGAGGCACAGCAAGAGCAACGCAGACCTCCACCGCGGAGACTCTTTTGTGCTCCAGCGACGGGCCATAACCACGGCAGATGGAGGGAGCGAGGAGGAGATGGAGGAGGAGCTGGGGCCAGACGCCGCCGCCGCCGAGCCCCAGGCTGCTCCCTGCGCTCTCCGCGGCGGCGGCGGGAGGGGGAGGGGAGGGGCCGCCGCCCGCGCGCGCCGCCTCCCTCCTCCCTCCGGCCCTCCCTCAGCCGCTCGCCGGCTCCCAACCCCGGCGGCGCGAGAGCCCCACGCGGGGCTGCCTTCCCGGGGGCCGGGGCAGGCGGCGCGCCCGCCGGCGCGAGGCGAGCGGAGGGCGAACTCGGGACTGCGGCCTCGCGCCGCCCAGAACAGCCGGCGCCTCCACCCGCCAGACGGAGCCCCAGCCGGCGCTCGCGCTCATCCGTGCGATCGGCAATCCCCTGGCTCGCCTGCTTTGGTTCCCGCCCCGCGCGCCGCTGGACTTTCCAAGTCTTGAGGCCCATTTCCTCGCGCCTGGAGCCCGAGGAGCAAGGCAGGGCCAATCGATGCGCGAGCGCACGAACGCGGCCGCCGGACTCCAGGCGGCTGGAGAGCGGGGCCCGAGACGGGGCTCCGCCGCAGTCTGAATCCTCGGGGGTGGCACTGTGGGCGGCGTACGGAGGACTTAAGAGGGTAAAGGCGAACGGGTGTGGGGGAAGAGTGGACCGTCAGAGCCGAGAACTTAGGAGTTCTTCCCCTAGCCCTCGCCCCCACGGGCTCCGCTGGGGATCGGCGCTGACTCGGGGGAGCGCGGGGACCGTGGGTCGGCGTGGACGCGGGCTGGGGACTGAGTTTGGTCGCCCACGCCCAAGATCCCCGGGATGAGTCGCGCAAGATGAGTGCGGAGTTTGCTCTTCTAGTCTGGCGGGAGGCGGTTTGACGTCTGTCGGCGGGGGTTGAGGGTGCCAGCGGCCCGGGGCTCTTGTCTGCAGCCGACCTTGCGGGTGGAAAAGTGGGAGGGGGATCATTCAGCACGCCCCCATTTCCCCAAGCCTCTTCCCGAGCGAGTGTGATCCCCTGAGGTCCTGGAAACACTTTTCCAAACACTTTGTGTAGTGACATTGGCACGTCAGACCCTGCGCATCTACAACGCCTTAACGCCTCCGTGAGATTTGTCATCGGCCTTTCCAAGCACTCTCTGGCTTCTGCACGGAAGACAAGGCACTATTGACATAGGTTATCCTCTTGTAATCCCTAACAACCTTTGTGAGATAAATATTATCCTTATAATAGATAAGAAAATGAGACTCGAAGGTTAAGTAACCCAAAAATCATATAGCAAGTAAATCGTTCGCGACAATTTTTCTCATGGCAAAGTCAAGTCCGTTTCCCCCTAACACAACGTTTAGTGCAAAGTACATACATGCTACTTAAAATGGATGTCCTTCTTGGGGGCTACATATAGGCTTTTCCTCTTTTTCCTACCGATCTGATTTTCTTTTTCCAGGAAAGAGCATTTCATAGGAGAAAAATGACGAGCAAGTATTACAAAATCCAACGATGAACAAGGCTTGTATCATCTGGCAAAAATGTAACCAGAAACCCGAACGTGTTTTCCGTCCTCAGTGGAGGAAAAAGCAGCAGCTTCCGCGTTTTCCCCTCAACAACCTGCAGTTTTCTTTGCTAGTTGGAGCATGGTGAAGGCCGCTGGCTTGTTTCTTGAGATCCCCTTCTATAAATTGCACTGCCATGACAGCTGTGAAGTGAGGAAGTAGACTGGACTCTCCTCCGCTGTCGCCCCTTCAAGCTGATCAGAGAACTGGATCCTCCATACCAGACACACAGAGCCCCTGTTAGCCTTTGCCCATCCTGGTCTTCCCACCCCTCCACCCTGATAGTTACTCGTCTGTGCAGATGTGTCTTCTCAGAGTTCACAGATTCTCAAATATTTTGATATTTGGCTCTATTTGCCGTTTAGAAATTGAAGTGATTGAAAAACATTTGCAAATTCATTTAGGACCAAAAGAAGTACATTAAGTTTACTGTTTTCCGAAACAACAACAAAATAGAAGAGTGGCACTGATTTCCATCTTGGCAAACCTCCTTACTGCCTGATTTAATAAGAGACAGCTGGATTCACATATCTGCTTCTGCATTCAATCTGCTGTAATACATTGTTTTAGTTGAAGAATAGAAAACCCAGATTCACACAGATTTATGGATTGGCAAAGGAGGACCTGATGTGCCTCCTTTAAGTTGTTTCAGGAACATGAACCACCACCACCCTGAATACAGGTTGAGCATCCCTACTTCAAAAATTTGAAATGCAGACTTTGAGTATTTCAGATTTTAGATTTTCAAATTAAGGATGATCAACGAGTAAGATTTATGCAAATATTTCCAAAATCCATAAAACTAATCCGAAGCACTCCAGTTCTAAGCATTTTGGATAAAGGATACTCAGCCTGTCAAACTTCGAACTCTGTTGATATAGATGTCTATCTTAGTGTCTTCATAACCCAAGATTTTTTTTTTCTCATTGGAAAGTAGTAATTATTCCATATCCACCAGCTGAGGATATTTGTTGTATGAGGAGACATTATTTATAGAAAATAATTCTAACAGAGTATCAGAGATGAGGAAGCAACGCAGTACAGAACTGACACCCAGTATTAGTTCCTCAGTTTGTCATGTAGAGGCTGCCTAGATGGTTATCTGGGCTGTTATATCCAATAACAAGACACTTCCAATCCACTAAAACTCTTGCTGTGAAGCGGTTGACATGGGTGACAGTTCCACTGCAGTAGGACCACTGGTTTTGTTGGACTAGCACTCTGCTCTGCACCCTATGAAACATAACTCAGGCTCCCATAGATAGGCTTCAAAGGGACTCTGTATTTTTTTAAGGTTGATTTATTTGAGGCCGGTGCCGTGGTTCAATAGGCTAATCCTCCACCTAGAGGCACCAGCACACCAGGTTCTAGTCCCTGTCGGGGCGCCGGAGTCTGTCCCGGTTGCTCCTCTTCCAGGCCAGCTCTCTGCTGTGGCCTGGGAGTGCAGTGGAGGATGGCCCAAGTGCTTGGGTTCTGCACCCACATGGGAGACCAGGAGAGGCACCTGGCTCCCAGCTTGGGATCAGCACAGTGTGCCGGCCACAGCGCACTTGCTGTGGCGGCCATTGGAGGGTGAACCAACAGTAAAGGAAGACCTTTCTGTCTCTCTCACTGTCCACTCTGCCTGTCAAAAATTAAAAAAAAAAAAAAGGTTGATTTATTTGAAATGAAGAAATACAGAGAGAAGGAGGGGAGAGAGAGAGAGAGAAAGAAAATATCATATATCCACTGGTTTACTCCCCAAATGGCCATAATGGCCAGGGCTGGTTCAGGCAGAAGCCAGGAACAAGAACCTCTTCTGGGTCTCACTTGTGAGTGCAGAGGCCCAAGTACTTGGGCCATCTTGAAGCGGAGCAGCAGAGACTTAAACCAGCACCCATATGTGATGCTAGCACTGCTGGCAAAGGCTTATTAACCTTCTACTGTCAGAGTGCCAGTCCCTCAGCAGGGCTCTTAAACCTCCTGAAATTGTATGAAAATTTTGTGCTCATGTGCTTTTTTAAAGAGATGATTATTTTCAGCAGACTTTTAAATGGCTATGTCAACCCTTTTTTAAAAAAGTTTAAGAAAAATTGAATGAGACAATTATTTGAGTTGCTTCTTAATCCATTTCCAAGTGGTTCTTGAACTTCTCAAGTACATGTAATCGGGAAAGGAGAAGTACATGAACTTTTAAAAGGGCTACAACCCTCCACTTGATGGATATATGCTCTTAAATAATCAATCTTTTTGTTTGATTTTAAACTCTTCTGTTTGGTTATCATCACATATAATGGTTTAATTTTTACTCTCATCACCAATAAAATTTTATTCTGTCCCAGTTTAGACTCCACTCCACTTGGTAGCATTTAATGATCTCATCAACACTGTGAGGTGACTGGGAATGTAAGTCTGCCACTCTAAGCATCATCCATTGGAAAGAAAATTGATGATGGTGGGTTTTAATTTGGTATGCTACTAGACAAAGCTAAATCTCTTAACTTCCTCCCAAAGGAATGTTACCTTTTAGAAAAGGAAAAACATATATAAATAACTACAGGAGAAAGAAAAAAGTTAAAGATTACAGTTACTTAAATTGTATCTATTTATAAGCAAATTGTAATTTCCATTGGAGTTGAATAGTATTGGATTTAAAAAAATGAGATCCTTCAGTCTAGGCAACATTTATTCCAGTTCCCTAGCACATTTATTATGGTTATTATTATATCCTGTGCTCTGACAACATACCCAGCAGGCATCAACCTGGCTCTAAATTAAACAGCCCCAATTCACATAGACTTGGTTTTGCCCTCATCAATTCAACTTCTTCATTTTCAAAGCAAACAGAGCATGCATGAACTTCTAGTCATAATAACATCCATTAGGTACTTCAAAAAAAGTTTGTGCAAAATGGAATTAAAGGATAAGTTTATATTGGTGCAAAAATTTTTTTAAATTCTTGCATAGTTTCTTCATAATAGACATTTTCCACTGTTTTTAATGAACTTTTTGAAGTACCTTTGTATATTCTGTAATATATTAAACAATTGCTCCCATCAATTAAAAAAAGAGTTAAGAGAAAATTAACTTTACATATTTGCATTTATCAAGAGATACTCTGAAACTTCTTACTGTTGACTGTCAGCTAAGTTTTAAATGCACATAACTTTGTGTCCAATCCTTCTCATGATTGGATATAAGGATATAAACTGGAAGTGCTTGTGGGAAGTAGTCTTACCCAATGTCCCCATGAGCCCATAAGATGTAAATTTGGCAACTGTGATGGCAACTCAATGGCTCATTATAGGGAAATATTACTAATTTCAGGCATAAATAACTCATTGACTTGTACTCTGCCCAACTCCAAAAAGGATTTGAAGTTCCCCAGGGTATTTGGCAAATGTGAGTGTAGTATATTATAGTAGACAAAGCCATAGGTCTCAAGAGTTTGACTGAGCTGAGTTTGGTCTACATGGTTGACCTTGGTAAAGCACCTAACTTCTTTTTTTTCTTTTTATTTTTTTGACAGGTAGAGTGGACAGTGAGAGAGAGAGAGAGAGACAGAGAGAAAGGTCTTCCTTTGCCGTTGGTTCACCCTCCAATGGCCACTGTGGCCGG